CCGAAAGATCATATATGATATGACTGACCAACAAATAATAACGACCATTTTATTTTGTGATCAGCCTCACACCAAATGATTGGTTTTTCTTGCTTTTGTTTTCTTGATTTTATGATATGCTCGCCAGAAACGCATCTGAGGGTCTAATTTAAAAACTCCCCTCACCGCTTCGCAGTGTTGCTAACTGGCTGTCCCCACAATTCAAAATGGTTTCGGCGCCTGACGCATACTGTCAGCGGAACAACATTGCCGGCTTCTGTTTCTCAAGAAAAACATGAGAAATTTAATCATCGGTCATATAATACAATCTATATGATGATATTAAAACATCATTGTTAATATATTCATGCATGGATACATTCCATACGTATTGAAAATATCTGCATATACGTTTTGTCGTATGGTAATACTATGCAATACGGTTTATTGGCTGCGCATTGCTCACCCCTGAGAATCTAAAATACATGCCTGAATTGTATGCAGCTCAATGTAAGTGAAATTTCAGACAGGCAAATTGGTTGAAGAGGTTTTAATGCTACCTTAAATGTATATTTCTATGGCATTGCTGCTACTGTCAGTGTGTTACTGTAACGTATGCCACTGCCGACGTGCCAGTGCAGTGTGGTTGTCTGGTAGGTTTTGGCCTGCGTTAATTAGTTACAGGTGGTAGCGTCTCTATTTTCAGCTGTAGTTTGGTAGGTAAATGGATGTGTGCTTTACCTATTTGTCTTGGCAAATAGTTGTTGCATACTACGTACGATGGAGGCTTCTCATTTTAACTAGAAACGCTTAAACGTACGCGACCACTTCGTGGCACCTTTTATAACGATCCAACGAATCATTCCTTTGAGAAGGTCCATGATACCATCCCTGTGCCTCCACTGTTTGGCGTGTTATGTGAACACATTTGGGAACTTTTTCAACAGGGTTTCACTAGATCCGCACCACGAGTCACATCCGCGCGCGTAGACGTTAGATGAGCGCTGTCCACTGCCGGCTATCTTGTTAGAAGAATATTGCCTGTAATTAAAACAGAAATATTCTGTACCATCAATAATGTTTTTGCGAAACCTCATAAAAATTGCGTTTAATGGAGCTTTAAAAAGCTATTAGACACGATAGACATTAAATGATGAATCACAAATTACATGTAAGTGACTAAAATTAGACGGGTTAGAAGGGTTTATTAAATGTCATCCAGGTAAGTTTTAGAGGTGACATGCAGTGATTAAGATGGGGTTTAATAAATTAATCCAGGTTAATGTTTGCTGTTATGAATTCGAAAAATGTCTAATAAAATGTCCTTAGGATTTCCGAGTAAAATGTCATTGAAAAGTCCTTGAAAAAAATTTCAGTCTGTACGAATCATGTGTTTCGAGCTGACAAATAGGATCAGATGTTGCTGGGTCATGTTATTATCGGGAAATATACGGTTCGTCACTTTTTTCTGCGCGGACATAATAGACTCAATTAATCGCGCAGATTAGCTAATTTGTTCGCGTGCAATTGGGATGGCGATGTGGTAGCGAGGGCCGTCTGTGATATACGCACTGGCATTTATTTTTATTCATTATAGTCTAAGCCAACCCGAATAGAACGGCTGGATAAAGTTGAAAAGGTAATGTCCATAAGTTACTGATTGTTCTATCTGTTAGTTAGATATTTGAGGAGCCAGGGGAGCTACGGGAGTTCGTATGGCGGTTTGTAATCTCGTGTCAGATTCAGCTACGTTTTCTTGGAATAAAACGAATCTACATAAGGTTAAATAATCTTGTTTGTTGTTACACAATCATGACATGGTGTCAGAAGTATTCAAGAACAGTTTCAATACACATTGTAGTGCTCTTGACAGACAACGCGCGGTACGTTTGTGTCTAAAGGTGTAGTCTAGTCGACCTCAGTTGATACGCGGTGGCACCTGGAATCACGATAGTCATGTGTCCCAAGAAAATGGCGCGATAATGACCGCCCTTGCGCAAGTTTACGTTCAATCAGCTGAAGAATGTGGAGTGAGTGATAGACGAATTCGGACGACTTTCGGAAAAAGCCATAACACTTCACAAAGAAGACGGGGAGAAGTACAGGACTCACTTATCCTGTATCGGGAGGTATAAAACCACAAAATATCAAAACGTTGAAATTTGTTTCGCAATGATGTGCCTGACCCAGAAAACCCTAGTGCCACATTAGAGAGGAGAAACGGACACTGATTACGAACAGTTGTCAAGAATTCACACGTACTGCTCATCTCCGGAAAAGAAATGATACATACACAGAGATCACTTCTTTCAGAGAGGGTCGAAAGTAGGGAGGAGACGGTGGAGGAATCTCTAAGGATACCTTCAAGCAATGGTGGAGAATTGCGAGTACAAGGATCAGAAGACCCAGTACGAGGATCAGGTTTGTCGGGACTCTCCTAACCGGCGGTGAAGCAAAACTGAGCTGATGCCAGCTTATGACCCTAGATAAAAGTTCGGCAGTGGCAGCCAGCATCGAACAGGTAAAATTACAGATGGTACACGCAAGCAAGCTTCGCACGCAGGAGTTAGCAGGCAAGGTTCAAACCAAGGGAGCAGTAGACCGCAAAGTCGGAAGAAGAATGTCAGCAGCGGCACAAAACAAAACAGAAATGCAAACCGTTGTGGTTAGAGGGGCTGTCACCCAGGGGTGGTAAACTGCCATGCTAGTGACAGATCTGTAGGTTATGCAATAAGCATGGACAGGTTTCTCTTTCGGTGTGTCCGCAGTGGGTAAAAGCACCGAGTGGAATAGTTAGATGTGGCAACAGACGCACGTGACATCTCAGGATATCATCCGAGGGGGAGGAATATATTCTTGGGCAACAATTGATTGGCATGAGGAGGAGTGAAGCGTGTATGTGCGCACTGAACGATATGCGCTTCAACTGTAAAATTAAAATAGACACCAGAGCTGAACGTACGTGTATTTCAGCGACCATCTGGCGGATCAATGAAAAGGTCGCCCACACCTGATGCACACAAGGTCAAGCTCAAACAGTCCTGGGCGAGCTCAAGGTTCTAGTGCATTTACAGCTGTCATCAATACCAGCGACAGGGAAAGTCTATACATTTCGTGTAGTCGTGATAGATGGCAACAGCGACCAGTCAGCTGCTAGCCCTGCGTGGAGTGGCAAAGAAAATGGGCCTAGTTACCGCATGTAGATAAAATCTTGAGTCAGTCAGCTCAGATTGGTCTCTTGAACGACCGAAACGCACGTCAAGGATCAGTTTTGAGCAGGGGTAACACCAACTGTGTCAACATTGCACGAAAAGTTCCGTTTTCCCGATGCGATGCGTGAAACAGAATACGGAAATGCAGGATAGTGGAGGTGATCCGTCTGTCACTGGCCGCAGGAATGGTGTGCGCTATGGTTGCGCGGTTCAGAAGAACAAATGTAAACGCGCATTTGGCTTGACCTAAACAAGACTGAATCAGGGCTGTTGCGCATGAGAAGCATTAATACCTTCCGAATCTAAGCGACATCGGCCACTTAAGTTGGCTCCATCCAAGTACTTTACCTAACTTGGATGCAGCAAGTGGTTTTTGGCGAGATGCCCGCTTGGATGAGAAAAGCCAACTGTCCACAACATTCATGACGAGCCGTTTGGAGTAATGGTCATTCTGCTCCGGCGTTCTCCTTCGGAATTACCTTCGGCGCAAGATCTTCCTAGCGAAAAATGAACGCGAGTTCTCTAGGCTTGAAGCAGTAGAGTCACCTGAATGGAATTGGTATGTTGGTCTCATCGGCGATCCATGGAGGAGGCACTGAAAGGAGGCTAACTGAAGTGTCTGACCGACGACTGCAGGAAGCAGGTCTTCCGTTTAAACCGAGAGAAATGCGCAGTTTAGGACTAAAGAATTGGTTTTACTTTGGTGGACCGTCATATCAGTTGCTTCGAAGGTATCAAGCGCAGACCCAGAGAAAGTAGGGCTATGAATGGATCTGACTCCAGCCATCCAATGTCAGGGAACTTCGTAGCTTTGATTGAATGTTCCAATATCTAGGCGCAAGTTTGCAAACTACTCTGTCTTCGTTATGAAGCCCATGACAGATCTGCTGAGAGTCTGACAGTGTCCTGTTATGGGGGGCAAGTCAGCAAGGTGCCATTCCAGAGAACCAAACAGCGCTACCTATAGCGCTTCCCAACACCTAGCATACTCTATGATGCGAAAAAAGCAACGATCATAAGTGCTGATGTCTAGCAGTTTCGGGGATTAGGGGCGCGTACTCCTAGCAGAAGAGGATGAAGAAGGCTTGAAACAGCTAGCATTCTGCTCCAAGAACACTTCAACACCCCCGGCTGAGCAGCGTTACGCTCGACCATTGGAAGGAATGTCATGGCGGCAGTATGGCATGCGACAAAACCTGTCAAGGATCTCGTGGGATTACCAAGTTTACTCAGCTGCCGACCACAAGCCATTAGGTGGCCTCTACTGACAGCAAGAACATTGAATGAAATCCCGATTCGCGTCAGCGTCTTTGCTGCGAATGATGGCGTTCAATCCTGTTGTTCAGAGTTTTTGCCGGGTAAAAACAGATAAGTGGCTAGATGCACTATCTCACGCAATCCCCTAGCTATCAACAGGGATAGTACAGCTGGATCAAGATGATCAGATGATAGTGGACACAGTTTAAGTAGGACTTGGCCAGCGTCACCTAACAAACTAGACACAGATCAGGGATGGCTACAGGAGAAAGGACGATGTTCGCAATGCAAGTAATGCGTTATGTCATCAACGGGTGGCCAAAAATAAGAGTGAGCGTGTGGCCGGAGCCTTTGAGGCAAATTACCATCGTACGCCTCCGGACTATCGGTGACAAATGAACTAGTTGTTCTAACAGAGTAGAATAGTTCTTGCCTAGTGGCGATGAGGCAGGACGCTTTAGAACGACTACATGAATTCCACACAAGGCATCTCGAGTGCCGTGAAAGAGCAGGACAGCCATATGGCTGCCGAACCTGGCACGACTTAGAATATGGTCGATACGATGCGTGGACAGTGTCGGCAAGAGCAAGCCGATCACAGCGTGACACAACCGCTGCAGCCAATTAGAGTTGCCGGGACCCCTGGCAGCATGTTGGGGACGGATCTGCTGTGAATTCAGCAAGCCTACATCCACCTCACAGCCCACACACGCAAGGCATAGTTGTGCCGCAGCAGAGGAAACCGGTCTGTTCTGGACCAACGCTTTACGCCAACATGCGCAGGCACATGGTGCCCGCAGGCCGCAGAAATGAATGCAAGATACCCGGCTTCGCCATCGGAATGTCAGCAAACAACCTATCGTGACCAGTGACCTTCACAAGGATGCGCGGCAGTCGCGTCCACGCTCCAGCGTTTCCAGAGACTGCTACAAGTGTTAGTTTAAGCGATAGATCCGCTACAGGGCAGAATAATCCCTGGATTCTGAAGTCCAAGACAGTGGGCAGTCTACCCTACTGTCTGAATTAGTGTTAAGTGTCGTTGGTTTAGGCATTATTGAAAAGTTGATTCTTTTGTCATTTCAAAGTCATTCATGCCTATAGAATAAGATGTTTATCCAAAGAGAAGGAGATGTCATAATGTTTACTGATTGTCTATCTGTTAAGTTAGATATTTTGAGAGCCAGGGGAGCTACGGAGTTCGTCAGTGGCGGTTTTGTAACTCGTGTTCAGTTCAGCTACGTTTCTTGAATAAAACGAACTACTAAGGTAAATTATTGTTTGTGTTTACACAATCATGAAGTAATCGTGATTCTCTCCAAATTAAAATAAAATTGAACAAACATACTTGCTCTATTTATTAAGTCAACGTCGTTCTATTGCATTAAAATCAATACAGAACCATATCTACGATACGGTACACCTTGGTATTGCACGTACATGATTTGCTATCATTCTTCACTCAATTCTCACGAAACCTTGCGCTTGTATAAATCACTGCGACTGCTCGATAGTAGATTGATTTGCGTGACATCATCCGGCGTCCGTGCTGGAATCCGGAATCCAAGATGGCGACGTTCGTTTTTACTGCAGGAAGCGCGCGCTATACAAGAATTCAAGCGACACAAACAGCAGAAGTTGAAGCACTACATAGACACTCTGCTGCTGTACTCGATCGTCATCTACGTGATATGCGCCATCTTCTGCTACATCTTCTACTTCCCGGACAACTGGTCGGATCGATTCCTGTATCTGCTACCGTTCGTGGCATTCCCCTTCCTGTAAGTGTCTAGCAAACATATAGTAGTAGTAGTATTATGTTTTATTTATCAAAACAGGGTAGCTACAAAACAACAACAATGCTGGTTTCCATGTAGGCCCTGTTATCATACATGATACATCACTGTTATACACACATAATGAAAATGTAATAATCGTATATACGTATATCGTATACGTAGAACGTATTATACGGATCGTGTGATGTTAAACGTTTAACTCTCTTGCAAGCAAATTTCATTCTCATCCATTCGTTCATCTCATGTTTCGTATCTCGTCCATTGCTTCAGAATCTATGGATGGAAAAGATTCCTACACTGGCGCTATGTACGACGAATCACTGAAAAAGGTAGGCGGACGTGCGGCAGCGGGCAACCGTGCATGAAAGTGATGCGAGTGGTAAAACAAATGTGACAGTTCGTGTCAGTCGTGCTGAGTCTCCAGCCAACGTCATCATCAATTCAGCATAAACGTGTGGTAACTGCAATAGAACAATGAACACTAACTCTAACCATAACCTTAACCCTGAAACTAAAAGTCAAGAAGAATCTTTGTGGAAACACTATTATATTCACATATATACTCAGCCTATTCCTTATTGCGAGAACAGTGACATTTGTGAGGCAAATCTTCTTAGTGTTGTGTCATCACTCACACATTTACCGTTATTTTGCTATTCCAGAAATCAGGCTGGTGGAGCTGAGAGACGAGAAACGACAGCTGGTGCGTCTATAGCCCGCATTAACCCTGCTAACAGTGGAATCGTATTACATTACCTCATTCTCCAGAGTTAAACACAGCTGGGGAGGGGGCAGAAACAGACAGTGGCACCAGCCGCTAAGCCTATGAGCCATTAAAAGTCTACATCTAGTTGGTTGAGGTGATCGCGAACAAATATATGCACGTATATACTTCTATCGTATTGATAAAATACTCTTTCACTTGATTTCCAAGCTCGTGACATGTTCAGTTGTTTCCGAGATAGCTCGTCGTAGCACACCCGTTCGTTTTCTTTTGCAGCTTGAAGAGGTGATGGAGAGTGATGGAGTCAGCAGATTCGTGTCGGCTGAAATTGCCGAGAGAATGAGCGTGACATTATGAATAGTAAGAGGACGGGTGGAGGAGGAGTAGGGGGAGGAGGAGGAAGCAAAGAAGACGATCAATAACAAGAATAACAACAGTAACAGCAACGACGAAGACGAAAAAGAAGGAGAAAGGGAGAAAAGAAGATGACCAACAACAACAACAACAACAACAACAACAACAACAACGACGACAACAACAACAACACCACCAACAAGACCAAGACAAACAAGAAGATAAAGGACGAAGAGGCAGAGTAAAAAAGGAGGAGAAGAAGCCTAGAACAATAATGCAAAGATGCAAAGAAGACAATCAATAACAAGAACAACAACAACAACAGCAGCTACACGCAGCAACATCGCACCCACCCACATGAAGCTCTTCCATCTCGAATATCTGATCGTCGTCGGGCGTCGTCGTGGCGACGCTCCTCGCCCGCATCTCGTCGACGTCGCGCCGCGTCAGCAGCGCGTCGATCTGCAGCATCCGCGCGACGACGATGGCGACGACGTCGCCGCGCAGAGCGGGGAGGTACGTCGTCACGTGGAGCGCGTTCTGAAGGAAGCACGTCTGCGTGTGCGGCGCGCGCGTCCGGTGCGAGTAGAGCGCGCTCAGCTGCCGGAGGATCACGGCGGGAGCGAGCGGGACGATGCGCACGACCGCGCGCCGGAGCGCGTGCGCGCAGAAGCGCGTGCCACCTCGTGTGTCGCGATGTCGCCAGGGGGCACCACGGGAGCAAACGAGGCGACGAAGCTCGCGACGCACAGCTGCAGGTGGTAGCTGTGCGCGGAGACGAGGTGCACGACGTAGCCGCTGTGCGGAAAGATGAGACTTGACTACAAGAGTCGACGAATACATCAAGAGAATCCGACTTTGATTGATATGCTTTATTAACGTATAATACCGTATCAACGGTAGCTAGCATTCAATTCTGCAAAAACCAAATACTTACATGTCTTTAATATATGAGCGTGCTAACAATTCTCATATTCATAAACACCATAAATTACCTTATCGAAATTATGCAAATTGCTAATTATGCCTGAATCATAGTAGATGCTAACTTACTGTTCCGCTGGATCTCTTAAACACCAGCTCCGTGAACAGAACAGCCTTACAACCTGAACAACAAATGTTAAAGTGATTACGTCACCGTAAATAGTAAAAAATAAAAAATATATTTCCACTTTTTCACAAAATATAAGTAATTCTGTTCACCTTTTATGGTTAAATTGCTGCATTATACTTCTTATTTTACTATATTGTTCGATGTGAACATACACTCGTGACGCATAAATATCCTATAGCAAGCAATTAATGTCAGGAACACTAATATCAAATCGTCCAGGTTTTTTGGATTTTTGACTAGTTGAGAAACAATCTTATCAGGTAAGAATTTGACGATATTACTTTTAGTGTAAAAAAATGGCAACAACAATTTTACAAATTTTACCATAGAAAATTCGTGACGTAGTCAATTTAAATACAAAAAATGTAATTCACAATATCAGCCAATTACAATGTTACATGCATACATACACCACAGGATTCCAGACTTCTAATTACCACAAGCTACTAATCTAACACATCATAAAAACCACATTCTTCAACAATCTTGATTAACATATTCATCATTGATCTCAGCGGCTTTCTATACTACTGTAACGATGTGATTCGTTAGCGGGGTAAGACTACTGGCGATCTAAGGCTAGGCGTAGGTAGGTGTAGGTATGTAGGTAGATGCAGGAGTGGGAGAACGCAAACCAACAGATAGACAACAACTATGGTAGTAACGTACCACACTGGTGTTTATTGTTCGACATGATGGACGTCGAACTAGATACAAGATACAGAGTAGGCAATACAAGATATGGAATGTGGGTGAACGCTGTAGCAAACGAGGGAACAAGAGTCACTCAGAAAGACAGCCAAGTTCTCTCGAGCTCGGCTAGAGCCTTCGCTTTTAAGTCTGTCCGTAATTGGTTATCATAAACCCGCGCCTTAGTGACACGTTTCTCACGGCGCGAGTTTCTCACGGTGCGACTTCGAGAGCAGGTGCTTCTCGACCATCGCCTCTTCTCATTTGTTGCACCTCAGTGTCACCATCGGGATTCATTATCGCGACGGGCGGGCTCGGATGTAGCCAGTGTTTATGTACCATAAACACTCCTCGATACATCTCCTCCCATTATTCAAAGATGGTCGCCCCGACCATCAAAGCTGATGCAAAATGATGTGTGTGACTGCACTTAAATATACAGTGGGGAGTTTCTTCTCCATCTCGGGTTGCCTCCCCTGGTCTGGTCTGGTCGTAGTGGGGGGTCCTCTTGAAGGCCGTCGGCCATACCGGCGAAGTGCTGATAGTCCCCCGTCCAGGCGTCTGCGTTGTTATCTTTTCCAGCCGCGCCGTGGTAGCATCCCGGGGCGATGGCAATTGAGTGTTGGACCTGCTCATAAACGTTTGCAAAGTTCGCCCGTTGCCGTAATGTTCATAACGGCGCGGCCTAGCGGCTCGGTGGGCCCGTGGCGCAAACGGCGTGCACTCCGTTGCTGCCTCGGGCCACCCGCTGTTTGGTGACGCGTCATGGCGTCGTGCAGACGTTCTCCGTCGTTGCTGCCTGGGCGTGTAATGGGGGTGTGATGGGAGTGTCGTCCTCAATCCTTCTGCGGGCGAGTCGTATCCGTCGTCTCGGTGGAGTCTCCCCGGTGGAGTCTCGCCGCGCCGAGGACGTTGTGTCCCCAGGCTGCCTCGTCTCCCTCCGGGGCGCGCATGATACGGTAAGGCATTTGGGACCCCGGCCCCTATGTAGAAATCCAATGCACATGCCCGAGGGTCCCACCTAACCCAGATGAAGGGGAATTGCATCCTCCAAGCTCGAAATAGTTCGCCCCAATCAATTAAGGGGGCGTAGCGCTCCAAGTGCATACCACTTAAAACAAAATCGCGCACAAAGAGGCCGGCGGGCAACTGGTAAGCGACGATCGGGTGTTCCAAAACAGGGGCCAAAATTTGCCGGTGGTCGTCTGCGGCCGCCACCTGCCACCACGAAGTTGAAGCCGCCGTCACTCCCGGTGGGGGCAAAGGTATGCTCCCACCTACGAATGACTCACAGGCCGTCACACTAGGCGGTTGGGGGACATTAGCAGATAGGTATCGATCAGCTAACAAACAGGCCACCATGCCGTAACGGCCTGCTAGCAGGGCGCGCATAATCTTCATGTACTCTGGGAGGGTCAGATGCTACCCCCACATAAACTCTTCGTTAGCGATCGTCCTTCCCAGATGTACGGACCAGGGATTCCCCTCGAGCATTTGCAGTATGAATGCAACCCAGGGCGTGTCTGCTGGCAGAACAATGGGGCTCAGGTTGAACGCGGTGACTAACTGACCCGCGTACGTTAGCTCCTACTCGTGGCATTCATAGAATAACTGGAGTTCTGCAACAGAAACAACAAATCCGCGATGCATTTGCGAAGCGCGAAAAAAAATTAATACAATAAAATAAACATATTTCTTAACTATCATCATAGTCATTATATCTCTATTTCTTAACCATGATGCTGCTTATTATTAATAATATAGTGCATGACGCTATAACATCGCCACGCTTATCAAAGTGCACTTAAACTGTAGCGAAATAATGAACGCTATGTACTAGATATAAAATAAGTATGCGTCGTGCATGCCTCTACACTTCAAACACCAATGATCTACAGCTAGGTGAGCATTACAACGAGATGGCTACACATTTAACTGTCGCTTAATACCGTATAATTAATTAGTACCCCCTGCCCACCTAGTGCTAACCGGTAACGAACGCTACGGGGGAAGTGGGATCCTCACTACGGGAGTGCGTAATACTCGGCCCATATATCTGGAATCTCGTCATCAAACGCGGGTCCAACGGTTTCCAATACTGGCTCGAAATCCCCGTCAGATTCGTGATGGAAAAACGATGGGAGGGAAAAATAACGAGATTCACCCTTACATGCCGAATGTAGGGTAATAACTTGTTGATGCGTGATTTGTAGTTCACGCACCTGAACTTGAGATGCCGCTCGTGGCTGGCATGATATGGGCACGCGTAGTGATGGCGTAAGGAGGGGTGGGGTCGAAATTAACCAACGTCCATTAAGCAGATAATCTGCCCTAGGGGTAGCTCTCGCGTAAAATGTAACACGCTTGGCGCACAATGCCCGTATTTCTGTTGTTAGGTTTCTAAATAACGCTATCGGACACCCCGTAGTTACGCCCATAGGGATTATCAAACGCCCCGATAGTAATATAGCGACTGACTGCGCAATCGTATCGAGCGCATCCCGCCCGTGATCAAAAGCAAGTTTTAAACTAGTTAATGCCAGTTGCAATTTCGTTAGCGTAATGAATTCCCGCTGAGTTGCAGCCTACCAACCTGTCATTTTACCCAAAATGCTGTTGACAGCAGTAGTAAGTCTCTGCGTCTGTAACATCAACACAGATATATTACGTCTATTCAACTCCGCCGTTATGCGCGTATACTTCATAACCGTTAACGAATCATCTATTGCAGTTAAAATTGCTTGCTGCGTATTGCCCATTGCTCCTATACGCTGCTGCAAAGCTTCAACATCTTCCTCTGTGGCCGTGCCAAATAGAAATTTAGAGAGTTTACCGATGCCTGCAATGATTGCTTGTCTATCCCTTACGTAATGTAGGAAATGAAGGTCGTTAAGCTGTTGCATCATGAAAACGAAACAATGTTGAAACCACGTCACGTGTTCTGTAAGTAACGCCTCTCGAACTTGAGACGCATAGGCATCGACTGAACTATATGACGCGGGTTTAGAAGGAACAGCGGGGAGTGCCGTGATCTCCGATAGCTGTTTCTTAAGTTCATCAAGATATTTATGAATAGGAGTAAAATCTAATGAGAACGCTAGAGCCCACGTACTTTGTGTTATTGATAATTGCCCTCTTGGAACGAAAACCACACCCTGCGTCGGCTGGTGTATGTTTGTAGCCATCGCCGGCAAAATCATGAGTATGCACAGCAGAGCGGTGTAGCTATGCCGTGCTATCGCGTTCTGTAAATAAACGTGGTAACGGTAAGCTATGCCGTGTCATCGCGTTCTGTAAACAAACGT